CCCCACTTGCGCTTAGTATGGGGGCGGAATTTCGCATCTCTTCGCTTTGTCGCCGGCGTTTTTTTGGCTTCTCCTCCCACGGCGAGCCTAAGCACCGCCCCGGCGTTGAGCAGAAGTGTCAACTGAGAATTTTTCCAGCGACGCTACGAGAATTTCCACCCACTTTCTGCCTAGTCACTCTTCTTGACTCTTCTGTGGGTTTTCAGTTTGCAGAAGGATGAAACTTTCCAATCGGGGGTGACTAGGGTTGACTAAGGCCCAGGTTCGACCAACTTTGCTAGAATTCCGTTACTTTCCTACTTACATAAAATTTGAGGAAGACGTTTAAATTTTTGTATTGTTATGATGGGGTATTCCGCAACTTTCCTACTCACAAATAGTTTATACGCGATGCCTAGCGCTTTGTATCCGGATTATTGCTAAAATTCCGCACCTTTACTACTTACGAATGTCTTCACAAGTGCCCCTTGCGTTCCGCAACTTTCCTTTTTACACATATCATCCCGCGGTCCAGCTGCGTTCTGGCTTGACATTACATTTCCTTTACGATATTTCTAAAGCCGGCATTAAAGCTCGAGAATAATTCTATTTTTTTTATGGCCTAAAGAAAATATTTGCCTTATCCTTTCTTTTTAGTTTTTCTATGAGCAAGCGTCCCGAAAGAAATTGCGTAGAGTTTTTCCTGGAAAATAGGTTGTTTCCGTCTAGTTGCGTCTCTACATTCCTATCTTTTTTTTGTCTGAACCATCTGATTTATGGTTCAACGTTAACGGCTTGACTTTGTGGTACCTTTAAAAATAGATTGATGTCAAAATTAATCTATCTAACGTACGTTAGCTAACTTCGATCATAACGTTACTTAATAGCTGACTTTTCCATTTTGTTGAACAAACGTCTTGTTGGTTTTTCAGGTTTTCCAGCCCAGACGCGGACACTTGAAATTTTTGATTGTTATGGTTTAATCAATCATCTATTTTTTTTCAGCGATGTCGTTCAACACCCCGGCGGCTCGTGCTCCGCTTGGCGGTCGTCAGACCCACACTGCCGGTTGGTATCAGCGCTCGTTTGGCTTTTTGCCCTTGCTGACCAATCGCTGTAATCCCATTTTTTTTTCAGTCTCCGGCCGCAGCCTGAAGATCGTGACGGAAGTCGGAAGCGGCATCGGATCTGGCCTCTCTCCATTCGGCCAGAATGCCGCCTCGACGATCCGCGACTCGCGTGAGCGTGAGAAGAAGGAAATGTCCGACCTGAACGATCGATTGGCTAGCTATATCGAGAAGGTAGCTTAAGGATACCTTAATGATACCTCTAAAAAATTAAACAATAAAAAATAGGTCTGAACCCATAATTTATAGAAAATAACAAAAAACCAAAAATCTACGCCAAAATATTCCAGTTCGTTTAGGTTCGCTTCCTGGAAGCCCAGAACCGGAAGCTGGCCGCCGACCTCGACGCTCTACGCTCGAAATGGGGCAAGGATACGCACAACATTCGCAACATGTACGAGGGCGAACTCGTTGACGCCGGAAAGGTAGTAGAGGAGATCATGAAATAGATGTTTATCTAAAATTTAGGAAGCAGTACTACAGTACACTTTATAACGACATAGCATCGAAAAATCATATGAATTTAATACATCTTTTTTAGCTGATCGAAGAGACCCAGAAGCAGCGCCGCGAGCTGGAGGACCAAATCAAGAAGATGCAAAACGAGCTGGCCGAGGTTCGCAGGAAGTGGGTTTTTCCGGTCACCACAGGAAACTCGATTGCCATACCCTTACTGCACCTTACCGTAGATTACCGAGTCAAATTTGGGCTTCATAGCAGTGGGATTACTGTAAAAACGCCACAAAACAATTAAATGTTACGGTAGGTTAGGGTATCCTTATAGTACACAGTACAGTACCCTAACAATGGATTACCGAGTATAACTTGGGTTTTATTGCAGTGAAACTTACTGTAGAAACGCAACAGAAAAAGCTCTTTGTTTGACCTAGACAACCCAGAGAGAAGAGCATAGGCAAACACAAAAAGGGGGGTACGGTAGGTCGAGTGGGTGCGTTGGTTAATCCGATCTGCTGACGGGGAAATTGCACTCCAGGCTACAATTTGCAATAAAAATAGAGAAAAAAAAGTTAAAAATTGCGATTTAGTAAGGTTCTAAAAGGCGCAAGCTCAATCATTCATTTTCCTCTTAAAGGTACGATGAAGCCGTCGCCGGCCGCCACCACGACCGCGCCAAGATTGACCAGCTGCTCGTCACGCTCTCCAACATTGAGGCCGAGATCAACCTGCTGAAACGCAGAATTGCTCAGGTAAGTGCTTGACGGGATTTTTGAGCATGAGCTTCATCAGATCAGGAGATAAAAATCCATTTTAGCTCGAGGATGAGGTGAAGAGGATCAAGCTGGAGAACCAGCGTCTGCACAGCGAGTTGCAGCGCGCCAGGACGGTAAGTTTTTAAGGAGAGAGAGAGAGAGAGAGAGAGAGAGAGAAAGGGAGAGAGAGAGACGGAGAGAGAGCAATTTAATTTTTAGGACCTCGACCAGGAGACCCTCAACCGCATCGATAACCAAAACCAAGTCCAAACCCTCCTCGAAGAGATCGACTTCCTGCGTCGGGTCCACGATCAGGAGATCAAGGAGTTGCAGGTGGGACTGTCCCTTTAACCCTCCAACCTCTTTCCAGATGTTCGCCGCCCGCGACACCACCCCGGAGAATCGCGAGTACTTCAAGAATGAGCTCAGCTCGGCGATTCGCGAGATCCGTGACGATTATGACCAGGTGGGATTTGATGACGTAATCGAATCCATCAACTGTAGATGAGCAACGTGCACCGCACCGACATGGAGTCGTGGTACCGTCTGAAGGTGCAGGAAATCCAGACGCAGTCCGCCCGGCAGAACATGGAACAAGGGTAAGAGTGGTTTTGGAGTTTGTGGTCTGTAGTAAGACGTTTTTCACGCGTTTTTTACGTCATTTGTAGCCTGTAGCTTGTAACCTGTACTCTGTAGTACAGCTGTCTTGAAGACTATGATCTCAAAACGGAATTTTTCAGCTACGCCAAGGAAGAGGTCAAACGCCTCCGCACCCAGCTCACCGACCTGCGCGGAAAGCTCGCTGACTTGGAGGGCCGCGTAAGTCAGGGTTACGGTATCGGAAGTCAATCTTTAGAACTCCCTCCTCGAGAAGCAGATCCAGGAGCTGAACTACCAGCTCGAGGACGACCAGCGCTCGTACGAGGCTGCCCTCAACGAGAGGTAAGTGCTTAGGCTTGGGCTTGGGCTTAGGCTTAAGCTTAGGCTCAGGATTAGGCTTGGGCTCGGCTTAGGCTTGGGCTTAGCCTTAGCTTGGCTTAGGCTGCCGATCTGAAAACCCGATTCTTCTTCAGAGATGCCCAAATCCGCAAGATGCGCGAAGAATGCCAATCCCTCATGGTGGAGCTGCAGATGCTCCTCGACACCAAGCAGGTCAGTCAACCTTCTCGGTTCCGATGACGTGCTAACCTTCTAGACCCTCGACGCAGAAATCGCCATCTACCGCAAGATGCTGGAGGGCGAAGAGAACCGCGCGGGGCTCAAGCAGCTCGTCGAGCAGGTCGTCAAGACGCACGGGATTCAGCAGGAGGTTGATACTGGTGAGTGTGATACTTGAATGGCCTTAAAGTTAGCGAAAAATCTACAATTTGGGTTACTGTATGATTTTTGTCTTTTAGAAACGATGCGCGTGGTCAAGGGCGAAACCGCTTCGCGTCAGTCGTTCCAGCGCTCCGCTAAGGGCAACGTTGGCATCCACGTCAGTTTATCTCCGTCTCCCCTCTAACTCTAACTCTCTCGCTATCTCTCTCTATCTCTCATGGTCTCTCTCTCTCTCTCTATCGTTCTCTTCAGGAAGCCTCCCCCGACGGCAAGTACATCGTCCTGCAGAACACCCACCGCGCCAAGGACGAGGCCATCGGCGAGTGGAAGCTCAAGAGGTACCTTAAAAATATTTGAAAATGAAGATTATGAGCTCGTCTGCCTTTAAACCCAAAAATATTTCAGAAAAATCGACGGCAAACGCGAGATCGTCTACACCCTTCCCGTCAACTTTGTTCTGCGCGCCGGCAAGACGGTTAAGGTAAGCATGAAAATGGAATTGTTTAATTTTTATATGCCTTAAAATTGTTAGTAAATTATACTGAATTTTAACGCAAGAACTCTTTTTCTAGATCTTCGCCAAGAACCAGGGCGTAGCCTCCCCGCCCGACCAGCTCGTGTTCGACGGCGAGGACTCGTTCGGCTCGGGCAGCTCGGTGCACACCATCCTCTACAGCAAGGATGGAGAGGTACGGAAATTTGGATAGTAAGGGTAGTTTATAGAAATTTGAATTACAGTAATTCAACGAAAAATTGTATTTGTTAAGATTATACTGTGGCATCCAGTAATTTAATCAATTTTTCGACATTTAGCTCTTCTAATCCATTTAAAATTGCCTTTTTCGATGCTGACTTAGAAAATTATGATTTTTAATTTATTCAGGGATATCGAAATGTTATTATTGATTTCCTAGCTATTTTCAAACATAAATATTTTGCTTACGGTAACTTTAAGCCATTTTTCAGACATTTCAGATTCCCTAGTACCTTCAAAATTTGCATATTTTCAGGAACGCGCCACCCACATCCAGCGCCAATCCACCACCAACTAACAAGTGCTCCACTTTCGGCATCCACAGGAAAATTCCGCCTTCCATTTGCTCATTCCTGGGGCTCCCAAATAAACACTGCCTTTCTTACTATATTTTAGGTGTTAAAAAATTGAATTTTTTACGTTTTTTTTTTAATAAAGTAGGGACCAAGAAACAACATAAACTGCAGAAAACCCATTTTTAAAAGTATCAGGCGCCTTGATTGACATCTACCAGCTTATATAAAATTCTATTTAATTTATTTAGTGTATTACGGTATGGCATGTGCATAAAAATCGCTATATTTATTTCAATATTTATTTAATCGTTCAATGCCGCTTCGCGATCCTCATCTTCCTGCGACGGATCTTCCTAGCCAGTTTTGCTCGGAATTCGGCATCTGCCATCAGCTTCTCATATCCGTCAGGAACAGAGTTGTCGTATGAAAGCCCAGATGAAGCCGGCTGAGCTTTAGGCTTGAAGACCGGCTCATCACGCTGCCATCCACCGAGGTCATTTCCGTTTGAGCTGAAGGCCCAGCCCTCGGGATCCGAATCGGGAGTCCTCATGATGGGGATGGAGTGGGTGCGGATACCGTGGGTACGGTGTCTGGAAAGTAGTGGATTAGAGAGAGAAGGAGAGAAAGACAGAGAGAGAGCGAGAGAGAGAGAGAGAGAGAGAGAGAGAGAGAGGAAGCTGAAGATGGCCAATTACCTATATCCACTACGCGACGCTCCGGCTGCGTCCGTCTTTGGGCCTCCATAGTAGTGATCACCAGCATTCTCATCCTCCATTTGCTTTAGGACTGCCATCCTAAAAATACTTTTGTCTTGCTAGTATTAAGTCAGCCACGTCTTCAAGCAGTTCAAAGTAACGCTTAGATTTTTGTCGGAACTGTCATTCTAAAAGATCAGGTCTTTTAAATCAATCAGCAACGTCTTCAAGCAGTTCATCGCCAATTTCAAGGGAATCCAAACTCACTTGGCTTTCTCCGACGGCACGACGCTCGACAGAATATGGCTGACGCCGCAATCACTCGGGCAATAGGATGCGGGCATTCCGGGGTCTCCTGGGGGTCCATAAGGACCTTCTTGGCCTGGGTGGCCAAGTCGTCCGGCAGCTCCCATCGGTCCAGAGGGTCCAGGTGGTCCGGTTGGCCCGGGATTGACGGATCCGCGGCCTGAAATTGAGGTAAATGGCTTCATAGCTCCGTAGCTTCTGATCTACAGAAAAATCACGAATTTTCAGCCGAAAACCACGAGAAACCGCCATTAACGAAAGATCTCGATAATTAAAAATTCCAAAAAGGCTCTTTTTTAGGTCCTAAAATCAGGTAAAACTACCGTACCCGTCGGTCCTGGCGATCCCATCATGCCGGCAGGTCCGGGTGGCCCCTTCGGTCCCTTGATTCCGATGCCAGCAACGGCAGTCTTTCCCGCCTGTCCACTGGGTCCCTCAGGTCCTTTAGGTCCAGGCTCACCAGGAGCACCAGCAGGTCCGTGAGGTCCATCCATACCCATAGCGCCATGAGGGCCAAGGCCTCCAGGTGTGCCAGGCTCGCCTTGCCGACCTCGCTCGCCCTGGGGGCCTCTGAAAGGAGGATGTTACGTGATGTTACGATACTTTCATCTAGAATTTTTCTGAGACACCATTTTTGTAGAAAAGCTGAGATTTTGGGGCTTTAGCTTTCCTTAATGCACCAATTTCCCTCACCTCGGTCCTATCGGTCCACCCGGACAGACAACACATGGCATCTCAGGCTCGGTGTCCAACTGCACGTCCATACCGTCTCCTCCAGTATTTCCTTGGTTTCCGGGTTCTCCTGGCATCCCATCAGATCCGGGAGGTCCGGGTGGACCCGGTGGGCCGTAAGGGCAAGCTAGCTGGCCGCAACCTAAAAAGAGCAAGCTCCAAAACTCAAGTCAGCCCCACCTTTACATACTCCATCGTAGATCTGTCTCTTTGCTCTGCTAAAGAACTGGACTGACGTGCCGAAGAACTGGGATTGAATGCGGAGCTTCTCGTTCCATAGTCGGGTCGTCACCTCCTAAAACTTATTTCTTAAGGAAAACTGCTAAACTGTTATTGCTAAGTGCAGTATCCCAATGAGCATGACCCAGTGAGATAGTTAGAACGAAATAAAGAGAGAAAGAGAGAGCGAGAGAGCGCGCGATAGAAAGAGAGAGAGCGCGAGAAAGACAAAGAAAACGAAGAGACAGAGAGAGAGAGAGAGAGAGAGAGAGAGAGAGAGAGAGAGAGAGAGAGAGAGAGAGAGAGAGAGGAGAGAGAGAGAGAGAGAGAGAAAGAGAGAGCGAGAGAGAGAAAACAAGAGAGACAGATAATTTTATACCTTAAATACTCCAGCTCGATCGTGAAGTCGATTCTGCTCCTCAACAGTCTTCAGGTAGAGCCCGGGGAGGGTGAAACCGAGGAAGATCAACGAGCACACACTAGTGGCTATCGAAAACTGCGCTAGACGGTAGAACCACTCGGAGTCAGACTTTGTCTGAAAGTACAACAATTTTTAGACTCAATTTGTACATTTCAAAGTCATTAAAGGCTCCCTGAAGTCGCTTTTTCCGTCGTTTACGCACTAATAGGAGACTGGGCGCCAGAACAGCAAAAAATACTTACATTCCTCATCCTTGAAAGCAAAAATTCCCCAGAACCGATTGTTCCAGTCAGCCGGGTGGTGGAAGAGCGGGAGAAATGACTGATCCAATCAGTCGAGCTCACTTTTACGCCCTAATGGCCCGGTGGGGGTGATTTTTTGGGTCAAGGTGTTTTCTCTGATTTCGCCCCAGTTTCCCCCCCGTGTTTTCACTAACCGATCAGGAGCACTGCGCGCATGGGAAATTGGGCCAGCTTCCAGCTTGGAACTTCCAAATACCGTGGAGAGTTGATACGATGGGCTAGACGAACGGAAGTTTTTAAAGGGATGGTGACAGGAGAATCAAGCTGAACTTTTTCCATCAAGAGAAGGTCCGCTACAAAGACAGTTTTAAAGGGATGGCGACAGGAAAACCAGACTAGACTGACCTTTTCCACATTAAAGCGTGTATCGGCTTGAATTTTCGTTTTTAAAGGGAATTCTTACACGGGAATTATACTAACCTTTTCCATATCAAAGAGCCTGAGCTGAAGTTTTTAAAGGGATGGTACCAAGCCAATCGAACTGAAATTTTGAGCATCAAAGACAGGGTGGACTCAGATTCCGTTTTAAAGGGATGGTGACATCCGTCGAAAAATCAATACAAATCAAAACTCGAAACATCAGAGGTGCCGAAAAATGGCGTTCAAAATGGTGAGGGAAAAAACCGTGGTTTTTTTTTATAAATGGAATTATTTAGATTGGGTCTGGGTTTTTTAATTTATTAAAAATTTAATTTTTTTTTTTATTTTATAAATTAAATAATAAAAATTTAATTTTTTTTTTTTTTTTTTTTTAAGAGACGCGGTCGCCAGATTTTATGCTGCTAGTGGCCCTATTTCGCCACGTGGAGCGACGTAATACTGGTCAGAAACAATAAAATCTGACTATTCAATTTTCAGAATCCCTAAAAAATTCTACATTTTGGAAACTCGAGCAAAGATAGGCAGCAGAGCGGTCGACGCAATAGTTCAGGTTTTTGTCACCGGATCGCATTTTTTCCCAAGAAAACAAGATTTTATTATCGTCTCCAGCCTCCTATAATTTTTGCGCAAATAATATGAGTTACAAACGTGCGTATTTCTATATTTTGCATTTGCCTAAAAGGTATTTACAAGTTTTGTTTTGTATCCTTTATTCTCTCTTCTAAGAAGTGGTATAACAAGCAAGTGCATTCATGGGGGGTGTTCGAATCCTTTCTGTGTAGCCAAACTAAGAATAATAAGAAAAGAAAACGTAGAATAACAATTGTCTGTCTGGCTAGCATTACTTCAAAGCCTTAAAGAAATATACTAAAATCAAAAAATACATAGAACATTATCAAAAACATTAAAAAATACATAGAAAAATCAAACAAAAATAATAATGAGGTGTTTATCCGTATCCGAGGGTACCCGCATTTTTGCCACAACAATTTTTAGTGGGGTTTGGGAAATACAAAAAATTCAAGCCATAACTTTGAATTTTTAACTCGCTAAAACCGAGCAAACTAGCAAAGAAATTGGGGAATTTAGGGAAAAGAAGCGCAAAAAGTGCCAAAAACAAACAAAGCGGAACCCGTTTTTGGTAGGCAGTTTCAAGGAAAAAAGAAAAGACGCTTCAGAAATGGGTATAAATGCAGCAGTGTGTTTTGGAATTTTTGAAGGTTTTGTGGGGAGTAGTATGTAGTCTGTAGTTTACAGCTTGGAGGCGGTAGTGGTAGCCTGGAGGCTGTGGGTTGGAGCCTGTGGCTCGGGTCGTAGTTTGTAGTCTGTAGTTTGCCAGAGTCGCCAAATTATTCAAATTGCGACATCTGGGTCTGGGGCGGTGGGTTGGGGTAGCTGGGGACGATTGTCACGGGCTGAGCCCATCTGAAAAAATATTTAGATGGGTGCTTGGCTTTAGCTTTGGCTTAGGCTTAGGCTTGGGCGTTGGCTTAGGCTTAGGCTTAGGCTTCGGCTTAGCCTTTGGCTTAGGCTTAGGCTTAGGCTTAGGCATAGCTTTGGCATGACTTTGTCTACCTTCACCATAGCCATAGCTCAGGCTTAGGCTTGGAATTGGGGCTGTAAAATTTGGTTTGATTATTTTACAGCGGATGTCTGCTCGCTTCAACTGTTTCTGCCGAAATTTGAATTTTTCGATACCGCAGTGTCGATAATAATGAGCAAAATTTTTCTGGCGATGTTTGATATAGTTTTATTTATTTTAAAGCCTGGTTCGATATTCTAAAACGTTTGATTTCCTCATAAACCCACTTGAAAAGCGCCAAATATCGGGCCCGTTCCTCGTCGGAGCTCTCGCGGCGGAGGATCCAGTTGTAATCCCAGTCCGGGTCTGTTTTTGTCCATCTGAAAGATAAGGCAATTACGAATTGCATTTTATAGGCGTAACAGAATAGAAGAAATAGTCAAATACCCACCGACAAGGCCTAAAAAGCCGGCCCGGAATGCGCTTCTGGCGATCCTGGGTACTCGTGCTGTTCCACACCATGCCCGGGTTCGGCGGGTCGCTGCTAAAATTAGCATATAAAATCCATAGAAATAGCTATGACTATTATAAAGGGGTTATAAAGCTTTTCTGTGCCTTCAACTCCGATTTAGGTCAGCAGAGATTAACTGAATTGCTGAATCAAGTAGGACTTACGTAGTAACTCGCACGAGCCTGACCCTCTCGGCCAGCTCGGTCATCTCCTGATTGTTTCCGGCCGGTGATGACTCGGCAGTGGAGCTGCTCGTACTCTTGTTTCTGCCCTTATTCCGATTCTCCTGACGATCCTCTCCTCCGGTCCAGGTTCCGATCCCGGCTATCCAAGCTCGAATTTTCTCGTAGTCAGGCTGAAAATGAAGGGATAGGTCGTTGAGGAAGAGATAGAGAGAAACAGAGAGAGAGAGAGAGAGTGAATGGGAAAGGTAGAGAGGGCGAGATGAGCTAGAGAGAGCGAGAGAGAAATCACTTACAGCCTCCATGAATCCCATCGCCTTTGAATAAGCAAAAAGTTCAGCCAAAGGCGGGCAAGAAAGCTTCCAATCGACCGTCTCCTTGATGTTCCGGATGCGGTTGTAGCTCTGCTGCTTTGTACGGTAGCGGCCTTTGCTTTTGGATTCCTAAAAAAGAAAGTTCTAGCGCAATTTTCAGACCTTTTAGTAGATTCCGCAAGACTGCCCCTCGTCTAATCCCACTTTGAAACAGAATAATGGTACTCGTAAAACTTCTCCATTGCTTTCAGCTATCACAATCCCTTTAACACACCTTCCAGGGCAGCTCGCCACAGCACAGCTCGGCCATGATGTAGACGAAGCTCTCGATGTCATCCCGTCGACTCAACTCCATGCCGAGATGAGAGTTCAGACTCGCGTATTTGGCTGTCCCGACCAGGTTCTTGCCTTTTCGATGCGGAATATGGACCAGGTTGTCACCGTCGCGATACCTTAAGTTTTCGTTTAATAAAATCAGGACCTTTGATATGCTTTAAAAGACTTAATCTACCTTAGATACCTGTACAATTTAAGCTCCTGGATTACGATTACAAAAAGCAAAAAAGTATACTTACCTATATCTCCTAGCGAGCCCAAAGTCAATGAGGAACAACGTCCGCTCCTCGTTCTCGATCCCAACCAGGAAATTCTCAGGCTTCAGGTCCCGGTGGACGTAGCCCCGCTCGTGAAGCCATTTGAGGCGATCGATCATCTGGTTCCCGAGCGCCATGATCGTCTAAAACGTAGCGTTTTCTTCGATTTAAAAAAATTGCCACTAGCCTTCCTGCAAAAGCTCCGATCACAATAGGTGAATAGGTTCTCAAGGCTTGGCCCGAGGAGACTCATCACCATCATGCGTTGCCCGCCAAATTCCTCGCCGAACCAGTAGACTGAAAAGTGTATGCTTTAACATATGCTTTTATACACTTTTTATGATACAATGATTGTTTTTACCATTAAAGGGCCTGAAAAGGTATAGTTAGAGCTTTTAAGCTATGTAATTCTTTTAGGCTCTATCAGTACAAGCAAAATCCCTAGTAGTCGAATGGAAAGTGTTAATAAAAGTCCTATAAAACTAACTTACCTAAGCTAAACATTGAAAATACTGCTTACCCCTCGGAACTCCCGGAATTGTGACCTTTCTCCGTTTCTTCTTCGGGCCACCAGCTAGCACACGGTACACCTCGTATTCATACTTCAAATGCGCGTCTTCGGTAGCTAAACGGCAATGGTTTGCCCCGTAATAGAACCTAATGACGTAAAAAGTTGTTCAAAATTCCAATCAGACAAGAACTTACAAGTCTCAAACTTGACGGCCACCAGCTTCCCGTTCTCCTTCAGGTCGACGGCCGAGTAGATGGTGCCGTAGGAGCCAAAGTTGATTTTTTGCACGACTTGGAACCTGGAAAAATATCGTGTTTTACATTTTTAGCGCCCAGGAAGTAGGAATGGCAGAAAAGACATTATTTTACAGTTATTAGTAAGCTCGTACTTACCGATTGGCAACTTTTAGGCCAATTTTTGCCCGAATCGCCATCGTCCGGTCCATGTCCATGACGGCATTATTCCAGGAGTCGAGGTTGGAGGAGGGGGTTAACTGAAAAGGTAGCTTAGACTGAAGTTTCAGGCAATAAAAAAGCATTTAGTGTTTCTAATATTGTGAGGATTAAAATTATACTAACGAAGCTGTAGTTTAACCTTAAAGACTTACCGGTTGTCCATCAGCTGCGAAAACGACGTTCGGCCGTTGTGGTTGTGTTTGGACGTAGACTTGCTGGTTGAGGGGGTTCTGGAATAAAATAAATTCATATTTACGACGTTTTCTATCGACTTTTGAGGCGATTTTAAGCTTTTCCAGCTTATTTTTAGACTTGATTAGACCCGCTTCGCGACTTTTCAACCCTGGCCCCGTCTCATCCCAAGATGTTATTCACTTTGCATAATGCCCGAATGCGAAGACAAAAAAAGAAACACTCCCTCCACCCCTTTATATAAGCTACTTCAACTTCCGGCGGATGCTAATTGTTTCCTAACAAAGA